AAATATCCCCTTATTTCATAGAAATCCCTGTATTTAACCCTCAAATATTGCTTATTTTCATAGAAATCCCTATTTCTCCCCTGAAATTTCGCTTATTTTCACCGAATTCCCTGTTTTTTCCTTAAATTTCGTTTATTTTCATAGAAATCCCTGTTTTTCCCCTGAAATATCGCTTATTTTCATAGAAATCCCTGTTTTTCCACTGAAATATCGCTTATTTTCATGGAAATCCCAGTTTTGAACCCGAAAATATCCCTTATTTTCATAGAAATCCCTGTATTTAACCCTCAAATATTGCTTATTTTCATAGACATCCCTGTTTCACCCCAGAAATTTCAATTTTTCACCGAATTCCCTTTTTTTCCCCTAAAATATCGCTTATTTTGATAGAAATCCCTGTTTTTCCCCTAAAATATTGCTTATCTTCATAGAAATCCCAGTTTATCCCCTGAAATATCGCTTATTTTCATAGAAATCCCTGTTTTGAACCATGATATATCGCTTATTTTCATAGAAATCCCTGTTTTTCCCCTGAAATATCGCTTATTTTCATGGAAATCCCAGTTTAGAACCCGTAAATATCCCTTATTTTCATAGAAATCCCTTCATTTAACCCTCAAATATTGCTTATTTTCATTGAAATCCCTATTTCTCCCCTGAAATATCGCTTATTTTCCTAGAAATCCCAGTCTTTTCCCCGAAAATATCACTTATTTTCATAGAAATCCCAGTTTTTCCCCTGAAATATCGCATATTTTCATCGAAATCCCTGTTTTTCGTCTGAAATATCGCTTATTTTCATAGAAATCCCAGTTTATCCCCGAAAATATCCCTTATTTTCATAGAAATTCCTTTTTTTTCCACTGAAATATCGCTTATTTTCATAGAAATCCCTGTTTTTCCCCTAAAATATTGCTTATCTTCATAGAAATCCCTGTTTTTCCCCTTAAATATCGCTTATTTTCATAGAAATCCCAGATTTGAACCCGAAAATATTTCTTATTTTCAGAGAAATCCCTGTATTTAACCCTCAAATATCGCTTATTTTCATAGAAATCCCTGTTTTGAACCCTGATATATCGCTTATTTTCATAGAAATCCTAGTTTTTCCCCTAAAATATCGCTTATTTTCATAGAAATCCCTGTTTTGAACCCTAAAATATCGCTTATTTTCATAGAAATCCCTGCATTTAACCCTCAAATATCACTTATTTTCATTGAAATCCCTGTTTTTCGTCTGAAATATCGCTTATTTTCATAGAAATCCCTGTTTTTCCACTGAAATATCGCTTATTTTCATAGAAATCCCAGTTTATCCCCTAAAATATCGCTTATTTTCATAGAAATCCCTGTTTTTCCCCTAAAATATCGCTTATTTTCCTAGAAATCCCAGTTTTTCTCCCTAAATATAGATTATTTTCATTGAAATCCCTGTTTTTAACCTTAAATATCGCTTATTTTCCTAGAAATCCCTCTTTTTTCCCCTTAAATATTGCTTATTTTCATAGAAATCCCTGTTTTTCCCCTGAAATATTGCTTATTTTCATAGAAATTCCTGTTTTTCAACTACAATATCGCTTATTTTCATAGAAATCCCTCTTTTTTCCCCTTAAAAATATCGCTTATTTTCATAGAAATCCCTGTTTTTCCCCTTAAATATTGCTTATTTTCCTGGAAATCCCAGTTTTGAACCAGAAAATATCCCTTATTTTCATAGAAATCCCTGTTTTGAACCCTAATATATCGCATATTTTCATAGAAATCCCAGTTTTTTCCCCTGAAATATCGCTTATTTTCATAGAAATCCCTGTTTTTCCCCTAAATATAGCTTATTTTCATAGAAATTCCTTTTTTTTCCCCTGAAATATCGCTTATTTTCATAGAAATCTCTGTTTTTCCCCTTAAATATTGATTATCTTCATAGAAATCCCTGTTTTTCCCCTTAAATATCGCTTATTTTCATGGAAATCCCAGTTTTGAACCCGAAAATATCCCTTATTTTCATAGAAATCCCTGTATTTAACCCTCAAATATTGCTTATTTTCATAGAAATCCCTGTTTCTCCTCTGAAATTTCGCTTATTTTCACCGAATTCCCTGTATTTTTCCCTTAAATTTCGCATATTTTCATAGAAATCC